CCGCTTTGTTTAACAGAAATTTATTTAAGGGAAGAAGGGATGGATATGGAAGGAGAGGGGGCAGGAAAGAATAAAAGTCGAGAAACTTATTTGGAGAGGGATTGGGTTTGAGTCGGTCAGAACAGTTTTAAACAGTTCTAAATGAAACTCTGTTCATTCGTAGACATTTGTGTAGTCCCTTCTGAGCCCCTCGACGTGTCAGAAGTAGTTTTCCCGATTTGAGTAAGGAAGTGGAAAGCGATTCATTTTCCAAAATTAATAACACTTGAATGTTTAGTTCCAGGCCAAGCAAAAGGATTTCCATCTAAAATAATTGGCCAACGCAAGGGCTGACCGTGCGAAGACGCGTTTTTTGCATAGTTCCCGCAAACTCTTGTCGCTAACGGCACTGGTTCTTCCGGCAGATGCTTCTAGCTAAAAGAATTTCAGACTGGCCGCCAGGACTGTCAAAAAGTATTCCTTCAAAGTTCTAGTTTTCTAGATTCTCAGGTTCCCGAGTTAGCAACCTACCCGAAAGAAACCTTCACGGGCTCGTACGCGGATACCACGCTTACCCGTGGGCTGAGTTTGAGCTCATTAATACCCACTTGGGCGAGGAACATCACCCTAAGATTTCAGCTTTCTAGCTTCTCAGGTCCCCGAGTTATCAACTTACCCGTAAAGAACTTTGGCAGGTTCGTGCGCGGATACCACGCGGGTAATGATGCCAATTTTGAGGATTGGGGCCCGTACGTGCATGTAGATTAAGTGCCCGAAGTTTCAGCCCCGTAGCTTTTATAGGTATTGAGATGAAAAATCGGGGCAGACGCATATACAGACACACAGACACACGGACACACAGACAACCCCTCGTCAATATGCGTTTTTGCATTGCATAGCTGCAAAAAACGCATAAACAGAAGTCCATCAAATTTAGATGCAGGTGCTATGCATAAAAATACTTCCTGAGATATCTTCAACAGTTGCCATCGTAGTCGCTTACCGCAAAAAACTTGAAAGAAGAAGGCTCAGCAGAAAATGTTTTACAACAGAAAGTTCACGATTCACTATTTCATCACTTTAAAGTGTTATTTGGCATGTAAATGAACCGAAATTTACCAATTTTGCTACAACGTCAGGTGCTTTTTCTGCAGAAAAATCTATTAGTTGCTACTGAAGTATTTCACAGAACTAGCTGCGTGTACAGTCATGATAGTTCACTGCTTCTCGAGTGAAGCGCGCTAAATGATTCTGCTTAGTTGCTGGTTATTTGCGGGAACCATTACGGTTGAATGATGCGGAACTACGAGAGCAATCAGCCGCTGGGCAACCCAGTGCAAATGTGTAAGAATCAACCGCAGCACCGGTACACCGATTTGCGATTTCTTTCGCTGCATTACCTGAGGATAAGTCACACTGAAGAGAAGGAAACGATTAAATACATTTTTGTCTCGCTTATCAGGTCACAGTGGGCGTACATTATTCCACAGATAAGGAAAACGCTGTTCATATGATAGTTTATAAGCCGATTGTACTTTCCCCTTTCAAACTGATAAAAAGAGATTGTTAATTCTTTACCTCTTTTTCGAAAAATTATAGCTTCTAAACCTTTTTTTGCAAAAATAGCCAAAACTAAGCGAGCTGGAGGTGAAACAACAATTCTGTACATTTAAGAGAATTGCATTAAAGCATGATGCATGATGTGTCAACAAGAACCTCTCTAAGATTTCGAGTTTTCATTTGAGGGCAACATAGATTAGCTGAGGTAACGTCTATTATTTAGTTGTTACCTGTTGGCGTTCTCTCCGGTAGTCAGCAAAGCGAGACAGTAATTACCGAACTGAAAACTGGAAGAGGGAAGAGCAAGCTGATGTTGCCTTCAAGTATGATGCAAAAACGCATGATCGCACGCGCTCATCTGGGGCGTTCCAGCCTGAGTAGTCTGTTGTCTATCACTGTTCTTCTAGACTTAATGCTCTTTTTGTAGATTCGTAATTTACAATTACCGTAATGCAAAGATAGCGCCAGAAGCGGAAAAACTATCCGGACAGGAATTAGTTGATTATGTTGACTTACACCAAACTTTTTGGAAGGTAAATGAATCGAATTAAACCCAATTCTGCCGAGACCAGAAAAACTTGCACTTTGTTCTCCTATACAGTAGCTAGCTTATTGGCGCGATTACAGCTTTTCGGGCAAGTGCTTATAGCTAAGAAAATAGAAATATGAAACAAATCTGGATTCAGTGTATCATTTTTACTTTCATGGTGCGAGTGCGAAGATTTTGTGCAAAAATTGTCAAACAGAATTTGCACTTTATGTGACTGCACCGTGGGTCGGCAGTGGCGTGTGCCATACTCAAACAGTTTTTGCCAGCCAGAGATATTTCATTTTGCACTAAGTAAAACAAAGCTATTTGTCTGCCATTTACAATTTCAGAAAGTCCACTCCAGTTTACTCCGAATTCTTCGAGCACCATCCAAATTTCTTTCAGGCGAAAATAAATTTAATACATATGAAGATCACTTTAAATATGAATTGCTTGGCGTAGAAAAATCAAAATTGCCAGCTGACGAAAAAGTGTCTATCACCAGTACAACACGTTAATGCTTGCATACCGAAATCATTTGATGCTCGGGAAGCTTGGCCAGAATGCATATCATCAATAAGGAACATTCGAGATCAATCTGCGTGCGGCAAGCTGCAGTGGGTGCAGAAAAAAGCAGTTTAACTGTGAAACCCCAGGCTGAAACGCACCAAGCTCGCCGGTGCAACCATGAGCTTTTGCGCTAAGAATTCTGCGCTGCGGTTTAACATGCGAACTCATACTTGCTGTACTTTAGTCTTTTCTTGCATGCGGGGGAAAAAGCATCGAGCTGGAACGAAAGTACTGCACTATGGGAAAGCGTAAACTTCCAGCGTGGATGATTATTGATTTTACACGATGCCCGACTGTTTTTTCGATGAGTATTTGTTAGCGAACAAATGGAGACTTAAAAATACAAAGGAGGTCAGAAGAGGATTACGAAATCCGCAGAATGCATCGGTTCTGTATTTGCGATAAAATTAAGTGTTTGTCATGTCTATTTGCAAGTGTTTTCACCTCCAAGGTGAACCAACACCAACACGAGTGTAGAATATTCCTATAAATTTTCGGCTTTCTGTCTTTTCTGGCTTCCGAAATCGTTCCCCGCCAAAAAAACTGTGTATTTGTCTCGGAGGCCCATATGCGTCAGTTAGGCGTGTATGAGCTATGGTTTTAAAACAGGAAAGTGAAGAATGGGATAGGGATGTCGTTTCAAAACATGAAAAGTGATAGATAAAATTTGTTC